TTCTGTCATCGTCAAATCGTCTACGGGGTTTTGCGATTCTTGAACATTATCATGCTCTTCTTGTATTATTTGCGAACTTCTATTTTCCTGGTTCTTCGCAGCCAGTTCTTGCAATTGCTTCTCTAAAGCTTCTTTAGCTTCATCTTCGTCATTGAACTTTTTCAAGCAGTGTTTGCCAGGCTGATCAAGCTTCAGGAAATCGTCATAGCTTTCTAATAGACCTGCTTCATATTTGTTAGTCCAAAGATAAAACTTCCTGCTGGCCATAGCTATAGATTAGAGCATGATCAAAATTTAGCCGAGAGTAATCTCAGTAGACCTCATGCATCCGTCCGTCGTATATATCTTATAATATCTTATAATATCTTATAATATAATATATAATATGTTTTGGGGATATACACAACCACCCTCCCCCCCCCCAACCCCCTCAATTATATAATGGTCTGACGTTTATGAAAAAAGCAACAACGACAAAGCAAACAAAAATCAACACTTTTATCTACATCTACATTTTATTGTCAGCAGGAACTATACATTAAGTTATCACGCTAACTATGGGAAAATTAAAGTGCTACTATGATGAAAATCGCTCAAACTTGGATTCAGCTGAAACCTCCCAAGAACACTCCCTAAAAAAAAAAAAAAAATGAATGAAGCTAGATTTGAAACTTATTGATGTAAATATGTATAACGTATATGATAATAGGATTAGTAATACATTTATATATACAGAATATATATGTATGTATGATGTGTATATGTAGAATGTGTGAATATCAATATTATACACATACATACATACATATACTCATAACTTATTTGGAACTAAGTTGATGTACAACTATGTGCAAAATGCCAAATAAAAATATGTCTATGTCTATATCTATGTCTATGGTACTAGCAAAGCAAACATGTACATATCTTATAATATCTTATATTATAAGATATATATCTTACGTGACCATACATATCTTATGATATATAATAGCTATATATATGTTGTTATTTGGTATTTTTGTTTTATAAATATATTGTTATAAAGTGTGCAAAAGGCAATTAAGAGACACATTTATACAAAAAAATTAGCCATATTTTGTTTAGTTTTGTGCAGTGGTTCATGTTTTTATTTTTTTACATGAATAGTGGTTCTCTCTTGGCAAGGCAACTAGAGCTACTGTAAACAATACCCTGCAAAACCCTATTAATCTAGAATACAATAAAGCTGGCTACACCAGGAAAAACCCAGAATTTCTATACAACACTACTATACACATTTACCCTCCTTACTATTCAATTGATAATTGATAATCATAGTATATATCTCTTGGTCATCAATTTCAATCATTTAATACTCTACTCATAAATTATTATTTGTGCTATAGGCACCTCCGTACATCATTGATAGTGGTCTTGAAAGATGATAAAGTATAGAACATAATAACCTGCAGTGTCAGTAAGCAAGAATAGACAGCAATAGCAATGATAGGAGATGATACTCAGTTGCCATAACAACTCACCACATAGTAACTAAATCCCCAGATGGTGGAAAGATTTTGAAACATCAATGTAGAGTTAAATTTAGCACTTTTGAATATGATTTATAGAAACGATCACTGAACTTACTGAGTATTTTAAAACCAAGTATCATTTTAGCCATTAGTAAGCTACATTTATATACAGTGGTTGATGCGTTTGATGGTGACACATTTACATTGTGCACTAAGAACATGAAGCATTACCTATGCCAGGGTTTCGAAGCAGATTCAGCCATGAAGTACATACCTTAGTGAAGAAGAGACCCCGAAGAAGCGCAAAAACGTCGTTCGATTTGTTTTACCATGGACGAACTACCAACAACCGAATTTCGTGGACCTATATTTCCCGCCAACAACTGTACAGGTGGTATTTGTGACGGGAGCGTTTGTCTTTGTGGAAATAGCTACTACGATGAATCAGACGCGGGTGAAAATGCTCCTCTAATCTCTTATGAGTCGGCAACACAAAACGATACCTATTTTACCGACGTTCACTGCCACGAATTCAAGCCTATATTCTCGAACAAAACGGCAAGGAGGAAGCTAACGATTGCTAGTATTGTCTGCCTGTTTTTCGTTATTGCTGAGGTGATCGGTAAGTGAAAAGTTGGACGAACCTTGCTGGACCTTTAGACGTACATGTACTCCTTTCTTTAAGCATACTTTGAGTATGTCACGAAGCTTTTTTAACTTTTAAAAGACATTTAATATTAATTTCTAATCAAAGGCTTTAGTTAAATACTAATTAATACGCTTAACTGTGTTAAGCGATTGTATTTCATTTGTTATTGTTTTCGTTATAACCTAACCATTCACCGGTGGGACAAGAGACGTGTAGCTTCGTTAGACACTCTACAGTAATAAAACAACTTTGAGCTATATAGCTACATAGCTACGTAATATATACAATATATGAGTGGCCGTGTTTTATCAGATATACAACCACGAGACGAAGGCGAGTGATTGTATATCTGATACAACACGGACACGAATATTGTATATTACTTATGAAACGTCTAGGTGTATACATTCATGTTCTACTATAATTTTAAAGATAAAATTGAATTTGGCTAAGAAAATTGGAGTTAAAGTTTATAGAAATCAGGACGATTTTGTATCAGATATACAACATCCTCCACGGACAATGATTTCTATTGTGTTTTCCTCATGAATTATTCATGAGTTTGATAATATAAAGTACTAGTTCGAACTACTTGAATAACGTGTATAACAAAACAATGATCAAGGCTATATGGCTGGCCATTGCTTATATTGAAATATCTGACTGGCTATTGCTTATCTGACTTAAAGTACCTATTTAGGGGTTTCACTGAAGGGGCTGGGGGGCCCAGGAAGGGGGGTACTCCCCTATATTCGCTATACAGGTATGTGCCGCCAAACAGGGTATGGTTTTTCAGCGTTTTCAGCGACTCTACTCTGGAACAGGGTATATAAAATCGCCATTGCTCTGGGACAGGGTAATATGAAATCACGCTCTCTCTCCTCTCTGGAACAAGGTATCCATCTTTGAGCGATCTTGCTCTGGAACAGGGTATGAATTTCAGCAATTTTACTCTGGAACAGGGTCAGGGTTCAGAGGGCTCAGCGGCACATCCCTACCCTAAACTTTCAAGAGTACCCCTGGGCTGGGGGGATGTTATAGTATGAAGCAAAGTATGGAACTTTTTGTATTCTTGATAAACTTATTTAGTTATCGAATTGTTTTATTATCCTTATGGGGAACCACGTATGATTTTCCCCAAATTTTTTAGCTTTATATTTTCACAATCATCACAACAAAATTTAATGTTCACACATGATCACCCTTCACCAGATTCTACTACCAGAATCCCTTGAACACTTTATATTGTTCAGTTAATTAGCACCAATTAAAGGTATAATTTCTCATGAAGAATTTTGGTGGGAGTTTTAGAAATATAATTGTGCAATATAAACTGCCTTTTAATCGTTTATCAGCTATGACAATATTTACAATCTCAGTAATTACTGGCTTATCATTGATCCTGAAGTTGGTATGTTTGTCAGCTAAAACGTCAACATTTGTTGATTTTAAAGCAGACCTCATTTGAAGCTGACATTTTAGCTCAGACAAACACACGTTTCAGGAGTCAGTACAGTGTAAAAACATGTTTTGATGTCTGGTGTTTGAGGCAAATAATAGTAACTTTTAAAAAAATGTAGCCAGTATTTGAATGACATTACAGGAATCAAATTTATTTGATACAATTTGTAAGCTTTCTAGGATTAAATGCAAAAGCTTAGTTATGTTGGTATTTGGATGTTGATTTAGGTAAAAGTGTATATTACTGTAGTTATTTTTAGCGTTGAGATACACAATGATTTTTTGCCTGCAAAGCAGGGGTTCTTGTGGATTTGGGAAAAAAACTGGGGCGTTGGGGGAACTTTTGAAATGGGAACACCAAAACCCGATTCTTCCTCAAACCCATCAAAAGAACGCCTGCTCTGCAGGCTAAATGCTTTTATTTGTTTCTTTTTTCTCTTCACAGGCGGTTACTTGGCTCACAGTTTGGCCATCATGACAGATGCAGCTCACATGCTGTCAGATTTTGCTGCATTTCTCATCAGTTTGTTTGCTATTTGGGTGGCAAAGTGGCAACCAGACAAAAAGAGAACTTTTGGTTACTACAGAGCAGGTAATGATATACAGTTAATGTAAAGTTACTTAGTGAAGGTTTTGCTTCATGTTGCATACTGTACCAAGCCCTCAAAGCACTATTGGCAATGTTTAATTCAATCAGAGAAAGGTCATAAAAATACCATATTTTCCCAAACTTTTTGTTTGTTTTTCCAGTATATTATCTTCTGTGTCGACACTATTTACACATGGATATATTACATTACAACAGGGCTTCTGACAGGATGTGCCAGCGTAATCCACCTCGTTCTGCAAATTACTACGAAATCCCTCCCACCCCTGGAAATTCCATTTTTCTTCCATTCAAACTCTGTAAATTTGTTCTTCTCTGATCCCCCTCCCTACCCCTTGGAAGGTCCATATTCCTCTGTAAGTGTGTGTGTGTGTGTGTTTGTTTTATGCTTTTGTGCACCGTTTTTAATTATCCATGTACTGGCATTNGTATGGATAATTTCTGGAACTACACATATTTGATAATACCTAATTTGTTTGCTTGGATTTCAGAGGTATTAGGAGCCTTGGTATCAGTTCTTATCATCTGGGTTCTAACCGGCATCCTGGTTTATCTTGCTGTTCAAAGAGTATTGACTCAGGACTTTGAAATTGATGCTGATATTATGATCATCACTGCTGGCATAGCTCTAGCCATTAATATATTGTGAGTATTCCAGAATACTTCTTCTAATCTAAGAAAATTCTAATCAGGTTTAAAGTGCTTATAAGCCTTTATACAATATTTTCAGAATTGATTCTTTAAATAGTGAATAGTTGATTGTGAAAATAATTCGTCATCTGAATGTCGGGTCTTTGAGATACGAAGGTTTATATTTCCAATATGTTAATGACTATGACATAACATAAGGGATTTGAGTTATTTTGTGGCAACTTTTAATATTGAACGCTGGACATTTTTTGAAAACAAATTTGTAAGAACCTTTACGTGAGTCATGAGTAAAAGGGTGATCCTTTTAAAATATTGTAATCCAGAATGAGTGCAGTGTTGTATATTAAAATTAATGATCCCTTATGTTACGTTATAGTCATTTAACATATTGGGAATATAAACCTTCATATCTCAAAGACCCGACATTCAAATGACGGAATATTTTCACAGTCAACTATCCCCTATCTAAAGTATCAATTCTGAAAATATTGTGCAAAGGCTTATAAGCACTTTAATACCACTGCATTGTAGAGGAAAAGCCTAACAGGTTTCATAACTCACTTGATAAGGCTACAGATACATGGAATTGGAATTTAGGATGAAAACTGTACAACCCAGAGAAAAACCACCAAACAACTGTACTTAGATATGACGCAGGGTCCAGGAATCAAACTTGGGTCATGTTGGTGAGAGGAGAGTACTTTAGCCTCTATGCCACCGATGCTTCCCACAAGTGGCAGAGTGCACTTGCATCTCATCTCTGGGATCTTTACATCTTACCCTCAGCATCACATGCAGGTAGAGTTTATTAGGTCTCCTTTTCTCACAAAGCTAACAAGCTAAATTCCAATTTGATCTGTGGGTGAGCCATGCTCTGACTTTGATCAGTCCAGAGGTTATTCCAGGGTGCGATCTGTGAGTTAGCCGTGCCCTGACTTTGAACAGTCCAGAGTGACAGGTTATTTCAGGGTGCGATCTGTGGGTTAGCCATGCCCTGAATTTGATCAGCCCAGAGGTTGTTTCAGGGTACGATCTGTGGGTTAGCAATGCCCTGAATTTGATCAGTCCAGAGGTTATTTCAGGGTTCAATCTGTGAGTTAGTCATGCCCTGACTTTGATCAGTCCAGGGGTTATTTCAGGGTTCGATCTGTGGGTTAGCCATGCCCTGACTTTGATCATACCAAAATGTTGTTTCAGGGTTCGATCTGCGAGTTTCCCAAAACTTTCCTAAGAGTTTCCTAAACCTTTATACATGTACAGTTGAAGATCTTAATAATTTTCATTGTATTTAGACTTGGAATTATTCTGCACCAAGCTGGTGTGCCACATGGACACAGCCATGGTGGCGGTGGCAGTCATGGTCACAGTCATTCATTCAATGGATCTGTTAACCATTCACATTCAAATTCCATGGCACAGCGAACAAGAAGTAATAGTGTCTATGAGAAAGAGAACATAAATGTCCGTGCTGCCTTTATTCATGTGCTTGGCGATGTTGTACAGAGTGTAGGAGTACTTATTGCAGCGTACATTATCAAATATAAGGTAACACTAATGAAAATGACTTAGAAGTCCTGTGCTTGTACAGGTACAGCAGTTTTTATTACAAAACAAAGGACTAACATCTGAAGCATCTGTACAATTCCAAGCTTTTTTACACTTCATTTTTAAAGTATTTGACACACCCACACAGTGCCTGCAACTCACATAAAATTCCAGTTGCTTGATCAGAATCCTAAAAAAATGCAATATTCTATATGAAAATTCATAAGCTTGCGAAGATTGCATGGGATTACTCTTTTTAGGCTTTCCTGTGAGTTTCTACAGTATGAATTTTTTTATTAAACACATACAATTTTACTGATTGCATGGGATCAATTGCCCTATTTCACTCTGATGTCACAACACATTAAGGGACAGAATGTTGAACACATTATAACAAATTGGCCTAATCTTACTCACTGTACTTGAATTGATAGCTAGCTCTCATAGACCTTTGGCAAATTTACTTGAGTGACCCCATGCAATGGTTCTATGTTAACGGTAGAATTGATAAAATACAGTAAATGTATTCACACATCAAGTCTAAGTTTGGCTTGGAGTATCGTGGACACTTAAGCAAATTTGCAAAATATTTTATATTTTATGCATGGTTTTCAAACATTTAAGAATAAACCCATGTTTATGGTATATTTGTTATTTGGTTGCAATTTTTGGCACTAGTTTTCTCCCCCTCCAATGACCATGATTGAAGCAAAAGTTTGTTTTCATGTTACGTCTAACAGCTGTAATGGAATAAGAAAACTTGACACTTTGAAACTTTATTTTTTTACGTAATTGTTTTAAAATAATTTTTCCCCAGCCATCGTGGAAGATTGCAGATCCTATTTGCACCTTTCTGTTTTCTATTCTCGTATTAATCACAACCTTGAATATTTTGAGAGACACTATACATGTTCTAATGGAAGGTTAGTATTTAACAAATACTCATGGATGTTTTAAAGAACCGAACATCTGACTGTATTACATGTTCTCTCTGTCTTATCTCATGTTTACACATAGGGATTTTGGTCTCTGATCATGGATCTTCTTCAGTATCATCTTGCTTCGATGCAAGGGCCTGGCTACCTTTCAAGATTGCACAGGGAACTGTGAAGGGGACTATTGCAGTATACTGTTTTATACGTAGATTCAGTGATCAGTGACCAAAACATCTATTTGTAAAACAAGTAAAAAACAAGTAAAAAATGAGTAAAAAGTCTTAAACATGACTCCCAAAGAACCCAGAGAAAAACCCTTGTGGCAAGGGAGAAGACCATACATATAACAAATTCTATAATGTTTTTTAATGTTCTGATGTGAACCAACGACCCAACTTGTTGGACACTGGCAAAAGGCAAACCTTTTACTGCTGTCACCCTTGTAACCTTGTTCACTTTTTGATTTTTCTGACTTGAACCAACGACCCAACCTGTTGGACACTGGCGAAAGGCAGATATTTTACTGCTGTCACACTTGTCACCTTATTGACTTTTTGATTATTCTGCTTTTAAGGTACTCCTAAGAACATTAACTACAATGCTGTGAAAGGAGGTTTAGAGAATATCCAGGGTGTGGTTGCAGCACATAGTCTTCATATTTGGTCTTTAACTGTAAACAAAGCAGCACTTGCTGTTCATTTAGCAGTTGGTATGTACCTTCCTATGACATGAGTGAAAAACGTCTGCGCATGCTCTGAATCCGTATGCAAATTACTCAAAACATAAGTAAATTTGACTTTCAAACATGCCTGATTAATTGGACTTCACAAAATGCCAAAACTTAGTGTCCATGCTTGAAACTTTAGGCTAATTCTTTCATATTGTGTTTAATACAGTATCTTGATCTGACAAAAGTATACTCTCAAACTTTTTTGTATACTTTGAGAAAACAAACATTTATTTTCTCACTCAAACTCTTCAAAATTCTTAGAAAACACACTCTTGCGCAAACGTTTTTCTCTAGTGTCCCTTCCGACGTAAATATTTAACAATTACACCTGCATCCTGATTGGTCTACGAGTCAATAGCCCATAAGGTTGAATGGTCTATTGACTCGTAAACCATGAGGGCGAGAGGTCTATTGCAGAGTACTTTGCCCTACATACCTTTCAATATATATTTGTTGACATTTCAGCTCCTGGGACTGACACCCAAAAAGTTCTAAATATTGCCCACCAAAAGTTAAAGACAGATTTCCAGATATTTCACAGTACAATTCAAGTTGAACTGTACCAAGAATCAGTGATGACAAACTGCAATGAATGCCAAGATCTTAAGGATTAGAGTACATGTATCTCAGCAATCCAACCAAGCCTACAACAACCATTGTGCTAGTACAAAGCATAATCCTGGAAGCATGTACGCACATTCCAAAGAAAAACATGAATTTTTTATTCATGGCCCATGTCGATTTAGCGAGATGATTGAAAATTTAAAGATGGAAATAAATAATATAGAAAACTAATTATTAATTTAAATATGATGAGAATTACAGTAAAAGGACATTAAGCATGCTTTGTCCAGAGACTTGACAAAATTCATGCTAATACTGTATTTTAATATTTAGTGTTTACTAGGATTATAAATTAGAGCGAAGGCATTTCACCCATGAAATGAAAAAATACTAGTCAATGTGTGATAGTCAAATAGACACAAAAGAAAATAATGAAATTAAGGTCTACTAAAATGTATTAGTCTAATATCTATTTCACAGGTTAAATGCCTTCACTCTTGTCTTGAATTGCTTTTGAATGTTTTTGTTTTGTCTTGTTTGTTGTTTTTTTTTTGTTTTTGTTTTTTGTTTTTTAATGTTGAATCTTTTCAATATTGTCTCATATTTTAAATTAAGTGATCATTCAATATATTTTTATATAAAACATTTCTTATTAACTGAAATACTATAAATATTGTTCCAGTTTTCTAGCACTTAGGATGGGTTTAGGGTGATTTTCCGTATACTATAAGATACTAGAGAACTTGATTGCATTGTTTTTTCTTTTGTCTATTTGTCAATGACTAGAGGGCAAACCACATATCCATGAAAAACGTAAGAAATTGCACAAACTATTAAGCTCAGTATTCCTCAGTAAACCGTAGACCTACAAAACTTTGCACTAATTTATACAATTTTGTTAGTTAACTTGATCATGGATATAATAATGGTATGCACTCTACTATTGATGGTCTTCAACCATTCCCAAGAGGATTAAATAACAAAAGACACGGCGGCCATGTTGGAGGATATAACATTAGAATTCATTGATAATTCTTTTGCTAAGTTCCAACACGGCCGCCGTGAAAACTATCAATACACTAACGACTAGAAACTCTTTTAAGGTCATAGGAAAATCACTCTAGAAACCACGACAAATGGTTAATGTAAGAATTAACCATAGACATTTTGCCAACATGATGGATTGTGGCCCAGCTGAGCTACAAACATCTTTACATCCACCATGCCTTATATAGCTTCGGTCATATTAAATTACTGATAATATTGATGTTTAGATTTTAAACCAAATTTGCATGTAATAAAAATTCAAATCAAATATGGAAATATTTTTTTAAATGTTATTTGCATATGTTTTGAACTTTATTTTTGATACTGATTCATCGTTTATAATACAAGACTATTCTTACAATATGCCTTTCATGTCAAAATATTAGGACTGACAAAATGCTTTATTCCACTTTTAAACAGATTAAAAAATTATTAAAACCCCTAATTTTTATGGATCATTCTAACAAAATGTGCATGCCTACTTGAAAACCAATCTATTGATTGATACCTTGAAACAATAATTGACTGCTTTTAATGGGCCTGGGGAAGGGCGAAGAGCGCCGCAACACAGGCTATGAAACACCCTCTGGGCTGATCAAAGTCAGGGCATTCCTAATTCATAGGGAGGAAAACTGAGGAGGCCAGATAAAAACCCTTATTGGAGGCTCTGGGTAGTTTTGGTCTGGCACACCTAGCTGCATTGAAACGGCTACAACTTCGTCTTGAATAACTCGATCTGCAAGCGCTTTTCACACAATGTCAGGAAAGGATTAAAGGTTTCAAAAATAAAAAATTTGTTTAAAGCGGCCTTTTCATTATGACGTAATGATGACATCATAGAAATCGTTTATCGCTTATTTTCTCGAAAACTAAACCAAAATTTTCAAAGCGACTTGCACCAGTCGATAGTATTCATCAAGGCATATGGCGCGCGGAATGGTTCATAATTGTCATTTCGATGTAATTGAATATTTGTTCGCTTGAATGTGTACACTTATCAGTGCATTGTATTACACAAGCACGTTGCATATGTTTTTTTTGGTCAATCAATTCTTATAAAAATAGTCAATTGCGAAAATTCGGTCGATTTACAATATCTCTGTCAATCACCAAAACTCTGTCAATCACCAAAACTCGGTCAATTCAGCAAAAAACTCGGTCGATTCCAAAAACTCGGTCAATTCAGCAAAAAACTCGGTCAATTTCAAAAACTCGGTCAATTCAGCAAAAAATTCGGTCAATTACAAAAACTCGGTCAATTCAAGCAAAAAACTCGGTCAATTCAGCAAAAAACTCGGTCAATTTAACGTATGGTATACTGACGAAATTCAAATTAATAAAACAAAGCGTCGTAATCTAGAAAGACGTTGGCGACGTTCCAAATTAGAGGTTGACCGTGAATTATATGTTGATCAATGTAATGTTGTTAAAAAA